TGTAAGGGGAATGATTACAAGGAAGAACTGGGAATGTATGCTAATCCAGATGTTTTTATTGGCACAGGCTGTGTTTAGGGGAGCGGGGAGGGTGGGAAAGGGAATTAGAGAGAGGAGAAAGAGAGATCCAGATAGATTATATGCGTAGAGTCCGATGGTTTATGAGGTTTTCGAAAGCGGCTGGCGCCATTGCAAGGTCTATAGGCTAAAAATAATGCATCCCCCAGCTAGGCAACTTCGAAATCGACGCGCTGCTCCCTCTCTCACACACAATATTCTGACTCTTGCACTAAATTGTCCCGATCAATAATTCAGAGACTGTGTCAAAGGATATGTAAGAGTAAGTTACAGGAAAGCTGGATCGCTTTTTAACACACACACACACGTGTGATGTCTTCTTGGGACAGAAACAAACGAGTAACCAAGGAGCGTCTGGAAGGGAACAAACGGAGGAAGTAACCTACGTGAGTTTCTGGCTCCTGCACCCCAAAACATATGAACAGACTAATATCGCCAAAGCCCTGCTGAGTACATCCAGATCCATCGAGCCCAGTATCCTGTTTCCAAAAGCGGTCAGACAGAATTTACATTGATTATTAGATATTGCATTGGACAACTTCATAACCGTTTTTGAACTATGCTATATGGCTTTCTGCCCGGCAGCTAGCTAATGTTGACTGCTACTTAATTTTTAATGCTTCGGCTATTTTCGAGGTGTGCCCCCACCTCCTCCGCATACCCCAGTCACTTCATTTTGATATTTTTATTGGTGAAGGATCTAGCCAACGTTAAGCAATTTAAAGCCACGTTAATGTCAACGCGAGAGATTCAAGCCGCGCGCTTGGCTCTCTCTGGTTGAAATCAACCAGACGAGCGCCTTCAATCTTGTAAGCACCAACTTACTTACTTGCGATCAGCTGCTGCGCTGAAGTCCTTGCCATAGGATTGCGCTGTAAAATCCTAAACTTTTGGCTAAATCGGGCTCCTCCCCCCCCTGTGTTTCGATCGCTTTCGGAATAAGGGATCCTGGCAGCGGGCGCGCGTGCAGAAAGGTAAAAGGACTCAATCCACCCATCTAATTTTGTGAGAGTGGCTGGATTATATAAACCCTTTTTACCCCGATTCTAAAACACATAAAAAAACAACCACGCCAAAAAAACAAAAAAACCCAAACCTAAAGTCTAGTGAAATTAGAAACTAAGTGAGATTGACTGCCGTGTCTGCTCATGCCAGTGAATGCGATCTCATTGCACTGAAATAATGACCACATTCCCATTCATAAAATCCAACCGGAATAAATCTAATGGAGTGGGGAATTTCTCATCCGCTACCGTCCGCGCCCCCCCCGCACCTTTTTAAAGCAAGTTATAAAATCTGAATTGAAATCTTAATCGGGAGTTTGGGGAAGTTTTCTTTAAAAATAAGTAGTAGTGGTGGTAGTAGTAGTAGTAGTAATCCTCAAACAGAGACCAAACCAGGATTTCTTACACGCCAGGGCTCGTTTGGCGGGAAGGCGCGTTCCCTTCTCATATCTTTTAGACCCCATATAATTTATGATTGCTCAGGAATAACCCCATTTACGTCCGAGTTACAGCACAGAACCCTGCACATGTATGCACAGAAATATGTGCCGTTGAGTTCCAGGGGGACTTATTCCCATGTAAGCGTGTGACGAACTGCAGACTCAGTAACTAGGGGAATAGGAACTACTCAGTAACTAGGGGAATAGGAACATCATAGACAACGACAGGAGCGCCAACTTGGCCGCGACTGTGAGCGCCCGGGCAGTGGGTGCCATGCAACGTGCATGGCTCTGGCATCGAAATTTGTGGGTGCCCGGCCCATTCATGGGAGTTTTGTGGGTGCTCGGGCACCCAGAGCCCCAGGGAGTTGTCACCTATGGGTATCGATGCATTTAGCCTTTTATCCTTGATCTTTCCACTTGTATTCTTTCTTTCTTTTAATATTGACATTGAGGTGCTAAGTCCTACTCCCAGCAGACCCACTCAAATTCGTAGACTAAAGTTTGTCTTGGATCAATAGAAATGTTTGCAGAATCAAAACAAGGATTAAAAAGGGGGTGAAAGAGAAGTCAATGATTATGTCCCTAAAGCAATACTCAGAGCAGTCCCATTCAAATAAATGGACCAATGTTAGACTGGACTCTAAGTTACCTCCAGTGATTTCGAGTGGGTCTTCTCTGAGCAAGACTTAATTGGATATAACCAAATACTTATATCCTCCTGTTACGGGAAGAATCCCAATGGTGGGTGAGTGGATAAGGGCCATCTCAGTTTGACAGCAGGAAGCTGCAGCCTCAGAAGTTCTGAGACCATTTAGCATTCCAACAATTCATTTTATCAGAAGGCCGGTGATACTTCATTTTACTATTTAGCCGGTGATCTGGTGATCCGATTCAAACGTATCCTATCCATCTATCTGTCTGTTTACCACAGTGTACCATATCTGATAGGCTGTGTGTGTTTTAAAGAATTGGCTCTATTGATGTTTTGCCTTCATGGTTGTTATTTATTTATGTATTTGTTGCTGTGTTTTATTGTTAATCGCCTTGCGCACCTTTTGGTGGAAAGGCGGGAGACAAAATAAATAAATCTATATTCTCTCTCTCTCCCTTCCCCTTTCTCTATAAATGATGGTGCTCTTGAAGAACACGATTTTGTGCAATTTGATCTCAGGAACGGGACCTCTGTGTTGCTTTGCGGGTGAATTTTGCCCTCCTCTCTGACACCGGGACCTCTGCCTCGAAGAAGCTCAGCATAGCAGGCCCGCAAACAAAGACACGAATCAAGAAGATGGACCTCCCATCCTAAACATTTGATCCCACCTTACATGCCAACTCAACTTACTTTCCAGTTAAGGGCTGAGATATCGCAGAAGCAAGAGGCTGCTTTGTCCCGGCCTCCGGTGTCTACAGACTCAGTTTCCTGTAGACCCGGTACAACCAGGTCGACCAGATTTTGTGCTGCAGACAGAGAGCAAGCGAGAGAGAAGGCGAATGTAACTTATCACCTGTCACCATCGTGGCACACACAGTTCCTCCTAAGCCTAGTCACGGTCCCACAGACTCTCCCCCGCCCTCCGCCGAAGAGGACAAGTCGAGGGGTCTGAAATGCTATTTTCTTGCCGTGTCTCCCACCCAGCTGTATCCCCATCGCAGGCACTGAAGAAGAACATGGCAACCAGGAGCAGGGACCAGTTGAGGAGGTCGACCTCCTCCTTCTCTTCTCGCTTCACCTGGAGGAGCCGAACAAAGGGGGCATTTGATCCTGTGCTCAGATGAGCTGTCAACCGCTGCTGGTGTTTTGAAGCACGGCCAGTTAGGCAGCCGCTGCTAAGCAATGGACTGATACCTCAGAACTTTGGGGGTGGGGAGGGGGAAGGAGATATAATCTGAAGTTGGGCTGGGGGGGGGAGAGAGGAACAGGAGACATCTGTAGCTGGAGGACAGCGAAAACCCGACGGCGCGGGGGAGGTGTTGGTGGGAGGAAAGGGGCTGCTGTCCATAGAGGCAGGAGTAGGGGGAAATTGACAGGCAGGCGCAGGATGGAGCCCGCCGGATCGGGTGAACTAACGCCCATCTTGTAGCCGAAGACACGTTTTCTCAATTTGAGCACGGTATCTATTACCATATTGGGTTTCAATTAACGAGACAATTTAAAAAAAAAAAAAAGCTTGAGCTGGGAGGGACGAAAGAAAGAGAGAACGGAAAGAGAGAGAGAGAAAAGAAGGAATAAAGATGGATGTCAGTTCCCCAACGCCGCTTAATCCAAGTTCTTTCTTTTGCCAAAGACACATTAAATTAATGTGTCGCGGAGGCTGAGGAGACATCTCCCTAATTGTGGAGAGTAGGAAAGCCATCGGGGAGCCAAACGCGCCGGCTCGCTCGTTTCGAGGCCCTGTGATCAGCGATTGATGGAGCGCAGCCTGGCCAAGCCTTGTCAATTACAGTTTAGGCTTATACGTGATGTAGTCAATTTCATCCAGGTTGGAGGGACGTCACTTCCAAAAGCCCAGAAGTCTTCCGCGCCCCCCTCCTCGTATTCCTCCCCCCAAAACATCCTCTCTTTTCGGCTCAGAGCTTTCCCTCTCTTCTCGCCGGGGTCCAACCGTGTCTATTGCCTCGGATACAACTCCCCACAAGCCCAGATGGGGATGGCCAGGCACAGAAAAAGTGCTGTCCTCCATCGCCTCCTATACAATTATCCTCCAGCATCGTTTTACTTAGGAAAAATCCGGGCCCCCATCCACAAATGCAGTAAGCAGGTCATTTGCCTCTCTGCTCACCTTAGAAGTTAGGGAGTTCTTATGAACCTCAAGAGTAGTTAATGTCTTATGCCTTTGAAAAAAATAGGCAGTTTCTTATTCTTCCAAAAAATGGATGCGTTTTCAAAGCTTTTCATTTACAATCTTCTCTCGCTACAGAAGGAAGGTCTGGCACGGGGCTGGCGGTGGGAGAGATAAAATTCGGAATCTGGAGCCGTCTTTAACTAAGCAATGCACTAGCAGAGGCATAGGCTCAAAAAGACTGTCTTTCCTCCCAAGCATTTTAATATCTGTCGATTAAAATCGCAGAGCCCCAAATGAATACTCGTGACTCGCAACACACACACACACACACACTTGACACGATGAACGTGCATTTTATTAATTAAGGGGTCTTGGGCTTCTTTTTGGTCCACGTAGTGCCGTCCCCCCCCATATTTTTTTTATTTGAAACCTATTTTGTTAGTTCATCTGTCTCTCTTCTGCCTGCACGGGTGGGGAAATAATATATTAAAATACGGTGCTTAAAATCGAACTACATGCCAGGGGGTTAGGGTGCGGGGAGGGAAGGAAGGATTTCATAAACCACATGTGCGAAAACAAAGCCAGATTACATTTTGTGGGGGAAGGAAGCTAAAACGATGAGAGAGAGAGAGAGAGAGAGAGAGAGAGAGAGAAAGAAAGAAAGAAAGAAAGAGGGAGGGAGGGAGGGAGGGAGGGAGGGAGAGAAATAGCACGAATGAGTCGTGCAGGGCCCGATCCTGCGCTTATTAATCGTGCTATATTCAAAGGAGTTTAGTTCTCAAATGAAACAGAGAGCTAAACTTCCAGAATTAGATGGTGAGGATAGTCTTCATCTCCGGAGTGGAGGTCTCTTTTCTCCCGATATATTCTCCGCTGCTGATGGCTGAGATCGTTAGGCCTTAGAGAGAGGCTCGGGAGCCTGCGCCCTTGAAAGCCAAAGAGCTTAATTCGGAGTCGGGATGTCCAACCTGGAGCTGTTTAAAACAGCAGTTTTCTGGACATGTCATCGGCAGGAGCGAAAAGCAGGAATAAAAATTTACTCCGGTTTTCCCTCCACCTCCCCCTCTTCTGGAGGCTGGGAGGGGAGATAATTCCTAGGATGGCAGCGAGCTTGTCCTCACTCAAGAGTTTGTTAAGGCGCTGCGGAGCCCTGGCTGTCCCCAGGGCGAAGCGGACAGACAGGCAGGCAGGCGGGCAGAATTCGAAGCGACGCTGCAGCCAACGGCCTCTGACTTTACAGCCCCCTGTCCTGACCGTCTTCGGAGCTGCAGGAACACGTAGCCCCATCTTCGGCACGTATATACTCCTCGGAAGTAAGTTCCGCAGACTTCAGTGGCGCTTTGCTTTCAAGGCAAATGAGCAGAGAAAGTAGTTGTCTCCCTTTTTTCTGACGAAAGGACACGAATATTTTCTCTGTTTCTCATTTATATTTCCCCCTTTCTCCCCCCTCTTTTTTTTTTTTTTTTACATTCAAGACGTTCTCAATAAAACCCTATCAAACGCACCGACGATATACAGTGTGATGTGCCCATTAATTAAGTCAGTGGGGCAACGCTCCAATATTTGTGGGTGTGGGTGTATGTAAGATATACTTTATATACTGCGGCCAGCTCAGATGTCTTTGTATCACCGAGCACAACAAAGCTGCCTGGAAATTCCAGTGGGAAACTCAGTATGAAATTGTGGCACCCAAACAACAACTACCCCCACCCCCCACCCCTGGGGGCAGTGGATTATGCAGGACACGTTCCTTTGATTTGACTCTATTTAGTTTCCTGGGACTCCCCCCCCCCCTTTACACTGTATTTCTACAGTCTCTTTACTCTGGACTCCGGAATCAAAATCCCGAAGCACGAGACATTCTATATTTTTCCGCAGAAGAAAGAAGGAAAGACCCCACCCCTCTCCAGCTTTAATTCTAAGTCTAGAATTTTGCAGAAATGGCGAGAATTGGTCGTCCTAGACTGCATACACGCTATTCATGTAAAACACACCTAGCTACCCCAATAATAATACCCTGAGAAGCGTAGATTGTTAAGGATATTGTTACTTGTCTCTCTGGGAGGGTTAAACTACAGTTCCCAGGTTCTTGGTGTGGGTGGGGATTTGCTTTAAATGTACAGCGTGCCAAATTTCTTTAGGACGTGCAGTCGAAGCGCTTTCCTGGAAAGCGATCTATTCTACACAGGTCGGTAAACACGTGAAAGCAGGTCGATTTTTAGACCGCAGAACTCGGCAGATCCCCTCAACTTACAGAAGTGTCCCTGAAAAATACCCTTGATTTCAAAACGAACGTGGGAAATAGTTTCTTCGAAGGAACTCCAGGGTTAGAAAAGTCTGTCTCCCTCTCTCCACAGACAGCTCCCACTGAGGCTAAGCAACTGCTCCCCACCCCCTAAGAAATGCAGGTTGTTTTATTTTATTTTAAATTTACTTCTTTCTTAAGGGGGGGGGGAAGAGGGAGAGAGTGCTGTGCTGGTGCAAACAGGCAGCGACGCCTCTCTTATTATTTCCACTATCCTCACAGCGTTGCTATTATTTTCTTTCTGAAATGGGACTTCATTTATCCCAGAAAGTCAGAGGTGGAAAGCATAAAGCCGGCCGCCCTGCGGAGTTGAAAGGGACCTCTTGTAATTCGATTTGCCCAACGCCTCCTAATTTCACGACGTCTAGAAGAGGGAATCGGGCTTGCGCCTTGGTCCCGCGTTCCTTCGGCGCGCTGGTTCCCCAACCCCGGGAAAAACCACTGCCAAGGACCCACTTTAATGGGAAGACTCCATTCACCCCACTCTACCCCCACCGATCCACTCTGCGCCCCCAGCCCCCCTCCGGACCCCGAGCACGTCGCAAGCCATTAGGCTGCCTGCGGTAATTACCGTCCGGGTAAGTTTCACTGCAACAGGCAGACGGCGATTCCTGCCTTCGGATTTTTATTTTTTATTTTTTATTTCCCCCCTTTTTTTTGCAGGAGGGGTGTTGGGAACATTTATTAAACCCAGATGATCCTCGGGGTTTGGGGGCCATAAGGAAACGATTTACAATTAAGCCAATTGGAACCGAAATGCAGTCTTTTTCAAAATTTTCTTGCAGGTGTAAATAATGTTTCCTTCAAGGGACGGGGCCGTTCAGGTGCCCCTTTGCTTTGAATGTCCCTCCTCTTTCTCCCTCATTTGGCCCAGCTGATCTAGAGAGGCAACCCCACCTTTGGGACGTGCGTTTCTCGACGGGACGTCTCTGATAGAATTTTCACACACCTGCAGAAGACCCATCTAGTCCTATCACACATTAAGTCCTAGTCCTCCCGAGCTGATCTTAAAACACGCGATTTTGGACAGAGGGACCCGTGGGTTTCAATGGAACTTACTTTCAAGTAAGTGTACTTAGTTATTATTACTTAGGTATTATTATTGATGCTATTACAGTACTTCATCAGTGTGCATGGTGCTTTATAAGTCACCCCACGGCTTGGGTGCTCAACTTGTATCCACTAGGATACCATTACAGTATTGTGGGTCAAATTTTATGGCGCTCCCTTCCAGCTAAGGTCAAATGGCCCCTCCCCTGTTGAACTCCCAGCTACTGAATACTTAATAATAATAATAATAATAACAACAACAATAATAATAATAATAATAATTCAAACAGGCATTTTAATAGAATTTTGATTTTATAGGGTTCATTTTAAAACTCTTTTTTTGTTTCATTGGGGACAACTGAGACTCTTGTACACTGCTTAGAGAAGTCATTAAGTATTTATTTTGGCACATTTGTATACTAAAGTCCAATAAGATAGGTCTGTGCAGGAAGAGGGCTAACCAATTAAACGTTGCACACACAGAGAGAACAGAGGAAAAGAAGGGAAACTGAGGCAGGGGGCTGAGCAGGGAAAGAATATGGATTTATCTGAAATACAGAATTATTTGAATCATACCACCATGAGTTTGGTTACAGTAGGTTATAGTGATTTAAGAGGGCTGGACAAAGGAAGGGGTGGGTGGGTTATCACTCAGATTCCAGAAAGCACTTTAGCAATCTCCCCCTTCCCCTTACACACACCATGTTAAACGCTGGGCCTACCATGTTGCTTTCCCACTAATATGGTCTGAGAGTAAATAAAAAAGCAGCCAAAGACCAGACTCCTATGTGCCTTTACTTTGGAGTAAGCCACAAAGACACATGGAGTCACCATGCATAGGGGATCAGACATTGAGGAAGGAATTCTTAAATTCCTAGGCTCAAGTTGCCTGAGTTCTGAGGAACTTAGGAAGGAAGCCAAACACCTTTACTAGTTTGCTTTGGTACCAAGAACCATAAACTTCAAAGTAACTTTTAATATATTACAGTTCTTTCCCATGCATCACCAGGTCAATCTCGATGTAATGCTCACCACAGCCCTGTGAGGTAGGCTCTGGAGAGAGAGAGAGAGAGAGAGAGAGAGAGAGAGAGAGAGAGAGAGCTTGTTTGACAAACACAAGGTCACCCAGGGAACATCCATCAGGCCTGAGCCGGGATTCAGTCCTGCGGCACCAGGATCAACAATCTGATCACTTTCACCTAGCTGTAAGCTAGCCAAGGATGCTGCCCCACACAGACCATGCCTACTTGTGACCATCATTTAAATAAAGCATCTCCCTCTTCGGACACCTCAAAGTATATTTTATCTGCTGTTGTCACACTAGAGCTGGTTGGGAGTTCTGGCTTAGCCTTGTTGTCCCTTTTGAAAGCCTGCCATGATTTTACTTTGTTGTTCTCCATTTCATATTACTGGGTTCAAATTGTATGTTGGAGGCGATCTGCAGGTGGAGAGAATTGCTGTTGCTCTTGGGTCCTGTTTGTTGGTTTGCCATGGGGTATGTTGTTGGCTGCTGTGAGAACAGGATGCTGGACATTAGATGGGCCTTTGTCCTGGTCCAGCAGGGCTCTTTTATATTCTTCAAAGGGTGTTGGGAAAATAGCCTGAATATAATAACCAAGCCTCTGACTTAGAGATGAAGGGAAGTTTCCTCATCTAGACTCATGGTGGACCTTAGCTGGTGCTGGGGGTGGAGCAGGAAAGTGGGTGCAATTTGACACAGGTCTCATTGAAATCAAGATGAGACACATCATTTGAACCCCAGATGCTTCAACAACCAGATTGTAGACTGGGAGGAAGTGAGGCCTAGCAAGAGGAGTCTTTGGGGTAATTCAGGAATGGTCAGGGATGGGATCCTTTTCATGCTAAAAGGAGATTGGAGGTTCTGAGACAGGTTAGCTACCCCTAATGTTGCCATCTGATTACACTGTATGCACTTACACAGGACCAAAGCCCAACTGAATACAGTGGGACTTACTTCTGAGTAAATATACATAGGCTTGTGCTGTAAAACAGCCCATCTTTTTCTCAAAAGTTTCCAAAAGAGATTTTGGGGGTTGGTTTCAGGAATATCCTTCCTTGTCTCTCAACTTTATTTTTTGCCACAAAAAGAATATATATATGGTACACAACACATATGTTCTTTAAATTACAGGAAACAAAAGAATGAAGAAATGGAAGAATATACTCAGTACATTTTCATAGAAATTGATGTTAACTCTGTGATGTAAGTCAGGAGGGTGAGCAGAGTTTCAGCTCTGAAGGGGATCTTGCCGAGGTTAAGTGCTTTGTCCTTGCCCCAACAATTCCAGTGGGAAGAAGATAAGCAATGAGTGCGATTAATTCCCTTCCCTCCCTCTCTTTTTTGAAAGGATGAGCTATAAAAGTGCTTAATTTGTTTCCTATCATGCCCTTAAATTCTCCCTGCAAATCTAATAAACAAACAGCTCTTGTGTTACACACTAAACCACTTCCCATTTTTCTGGGTGGTTTGTCAGGGCTCAGAGGTTCACTTACCATTAACTCTGAGGTGGAGAAAAGATTAATTTCCCATGCTGGTCAGGTTAGTCAACCACCACTTTGATAGTGTCTGGTGTGGCTAGAATATGGCCCTCCAGACCTCCCTATCTGGCCCTTGGAATTCTTAGGTTGCTTAGGCCACACCCCTCAGTAACCCAGCTTCGTATCTAGACCAACTGGAATGTACCCTTGAACTTCCTATTACTGAAGAAAGACAAAATTGACACTGGTCGCCCCGCCCACCTTTGCCTCTGGCCCCGCCCACCGCTGGGATGCAGCCTTCGGGTGGTTGCCCAGAAGAAGCGAATGTGGCCCATTGGCTGAAGAAGGTCATCTACAGGCCTCAGTCAGGGTAACAGAGGAAAGAGCCTGCTTTGGGAGAGAGGGCTGAGCCTGATGGTCTCTTGGGCTCTTTGAAGGTCTTTGATTCTCTGACACAGATTGTATTCACTCGTGTAGAAGGCTGGGGCCCCACTGAGAGCTGGCGAATCTCTGTGCTTCAGGACCTCTGTGATTCTTCTAGAGCAGTGTTTCCCAACCTTTTTTGGGCAAAGGCACACTTGTTTCATGAAAAAAATCTCGAGGCACACCACCATGCCAGATGGGGAAAGGTCACTTTTTACTTATGTAAAAAAAAATAAAAAAATAGTAACAGCATAGAAGGTAATGGTTAGGCTAGCATCCCTCTTCCAAATATGCTAGGTTTTTATTTGCAGGGACTGTTCTACATGGGAAAGCATTCAGCACTGTCATTCTCCCATCTGCCATCTGAATTGGTACTATTCTGGGTCAACTTACTCTGCTGCATGTGTAGATGAAAATGGCACCAAGTGTGGGGGAGGGGCAGAACAGGTTTCAGATACAGGATATTAAGCATACACGTACTTCAGATTGAACTGGTTGCTTGCTTTGCAAGTTTTCATTTCCCAAATGACTGCCTTGGCAAGCGCAATACCTACCAGGCTCAACGCCGGTCTTGCGCTGCCGCTTCCCGCGCTCTCAAGGACCCGGGAGGAGGAAGGCGTGAAGGGAATCCCGAAGGCGCGAAAACCTCGCGCATGCGCAGGCCTTCCGCCTGCGACAGCCCAGTAGGCCGGCCGAAGCGAGCGGCGATGGGATGTGGGAGGGAGCTCGCTCGCCGCCCCGCGTGTGCCTATGTGGGGCATGTTACAGCCCTGTGACGTCAGCGCCACGCAGGCAGCCAGGCAGGCAGACGGCGAGAGCCCCGCGCTTGGCGGCCTCTCCTCGCCCCCGCCGCCCCGCCTCTCGCCGCCCGACTCGCCCGCCTCCCTCCAGGAAACATCTCGCGGCACACCAGGCAACGTCTCGCGGCACACTAGTGTGCCGCGGAACACCGGTTGGGAAACACTGTTCTAGAGTATATACATCTCTAGTTATAGGTCTAAAAATTCACAGCAGTAAATAATCTTCAAATATATTGCTTTCTCTGCTTTAAAAATCAGAGCTGGCCTTTCTACCGTATTGTTAACTTTATCCCCACCCTCAGTCAAATCTCTTCCCTATCACTAGAACCTGAAAGGGACTTTAATCCACTGCACTGAAATCAACCGGAGCTTCCCCACGGAAATCGGAGGTTATGTGTCGCTACCCTCCGGACCCCTGTTCCATTAGCCCAGATCTGCGCGTTTTCCTGCGCGATCCTAAGCGCGTTTACACGGAAATAAATCCCGCGGAGGGCAGGATGGCTGAGTGGGGAGGATTTCTAGAGGAGATCCTGGGCCTTTGGCTGTTTCTGAGTTCGAGGGACGTGGAGCCGGATGCTCACATCTGCTGAGAAGGCTCTTGTGTGTGCGTGCTTGACTCCCCACCCCACCCCCCTTTTAAGTTCATTACATGAAGAAGCATCGTCGTTCCGGATTGCACCGTCCTGGGCGGTTATCTCTGCCAGAGCCTGACATGTACAAACACTCAAACAAGCCTCTGAAGGCTACAAAGCCTCGGAAAATCCGGAGGAGCCACATAAAAGCGAAGCTAAGTAGGAAGTGGTGTAAAAGGCCTTGTCGTGGAGTTGGCCTGCCCTCCCAGATGTTCTGCATAAAAATAAGAAAAATAAAAATAAAAAATCCCTCTTTAATGAGGGTGGAAGCCAGCGGTGAACGCTGCGTGAACCGGGGAAGGCGGGTCGGTGGGGCACAGATGTTGCAGCGCGCAGGCGCAATGTCAGCAACAGTGCAAGGGGGGCTTCCCTTGCTCTGCCCATCTCACCTGCTCTTGCAGAACCTTCGCCCGGCTTCTAGAATCCCCTGGGGGAGTCTTATTCCGCCACTGGCCGCTGGAGGGCGCCCCAGCGGCCCACAAGACGCGCACGTACGCGCGCGCTGCACCTAGCAAACTTTCCTTCCAGCACCCATAAACATTTTATTAGTATGAATCCAGGAGGAAAAAAAATCTGCCATTCCTCGAGGAATAGCAAACACCTTTGGGAGAAGAATTGAAGTCGGGTTTGTCAGGGTGTGTACTGGAGGCCTTTAGCAATGGCTGTGGTGGGTGCGGTGCGGTAAGAGGAGGAGGGAAGGCGCAGTCGATCTCTCAAAAGACTTGCCCAAACTTTTGGGGATAAACCAAATGTCTCCAAATCATATTGAAAATGGGTTGGGGGCGGAGGACATGGCCCCTCAGAGCCCAAAGAAATCAAGAGGGGTGGGTGGGGAGGAGTCAGACATAGTCTTTAATCCCTGCGTGCGTGTGGGTGGGGGTTGTTTCAGAGTTAAGTTTAATTCGCAAAGAGCGCATTAAACTTGACTCTGTGTCGACATCGATGTTTCACTGTGACGTCCTTATAGATCTAGTATGAATCAGGCTGCAATCCTATGCACCCACACAGCAGAACACCAGGAGAGCTCTGTTGGATCAAGCCAATGGCCCATCTCATCCAGCAATCTGTTCTCGCGGGGACCGAGCAGATTCCCCGACGGGAAACCCTCAAGCAAGGGCGACAGCAAGAGCACTGTCTCCTCCTGCGCTTTCCAGCGACTGGTATTCAGAAGGATTGCTGCCTCTGGTCTGGAGGAAGAGCACAGCCTCCGTCGTGGCTAGTAGCTATCGATAGTCTTTCCCCCCATGAGCTTGTCCAATCCTCTTTTAAAGCTGGTGTCCATCACTATGCTGTGGAGGAGAGAATCCCATGGTTTAACTATGTGTTGTGTGAAATAGTACTTTCACACACACCTGGAAGGAGGCAGTTAGCATCACAGTAATTCCATTGAACTCAGTCAGATTTATTTCGTGGTAAACTTGCGTATTCGACTTAACCACCTTCCTCCTCCTCCTCCTCTACTACTACTAAAATGCTTATTGGGCAGCAGAAGATGATGTAGGAAGCACTCAACAAACTCTACACACATTAAACATAATAGAAACACCGCCACCCGACCCCACCCCCATCCATCTTCCCTCTCTCCACCCCCCTTTTCTTCCCTCTTTCTTTTTTCTTCTCCCCCTAATGCCTCAACAAATGAAATGGATTTGTAAAAATGTTACATGGAAAAAACAAACAAAAAACGAGGCACTACACTTCTGTAAAACAAGAAAACCCTTAATAAAATATTTAAAAAAACAAAACAAACCATATTGGTTTCAACGATGTTGGATGTCCTTAGTTCTCTCCAATGGAATTTGATTTCATGTACCGTTGGGAGGAAGCGGGGTTCGTCCCCAATGTGGCTCAACTCATTTCCCAGCTATAACTTGTAAACTGGGCTGTGAACAGATCTCATCAGCTCCAGAGGTTGATCAGAAATGGAAAAATATTTCCCCTTTGCTATTCCCACATCTCTCCAGTCCTTCCCTTGGTTCCCACACCTTCCTAGTCAGTGCAGAAGTCGTATATGGGTTGTGACCCCATTGAAATGAATGGCCTCGGCTAACTTTGCCCCATTTGTTAACAATTTCAATGGGTCTGCCCTGAATAAAAGTTGGATACAATGCTATGCAAGTACACATACACATAGCAGGTTGCCTGGTTGGAGCAGCAGTAGCAGTAGCAGCAGCAACACATTCCAGAAGAGTGGCCTCTGTCCCTTGGCTGCAGGAAGGACAAAAATCCTGTGACACTGGAAATTCTACAGCCCTAAGGAGAGGGCTCGCCAGAGCAGCGATGTCACGCTGGCCACGTGACCCGGAAGTGTCTCCGGACAGCGCTGGCCCACGGCCTATAGAGTGAGATGGGCGCACAACCCTAGAGTCTGGCAAGACTAGCCCGTACGGGCAGGGGTACCTTTACCTTTACCTAAGGAGAGGGCCCTAGCTCAGTGGTAGAGCATCTCCTTTGCATGCAGAAGGTCACAGGTTCAATCCCTGGCTTTTCCAGGTTGGGCTGAGAGAGACTCCATGCCTGAAACCGTGCAAAGCCACTGCCAAGCACTGTAGAGTGAGCTAAATGGACCAATGGTCTGACTCAGCATAATGCAGCTCCCTGATTTGCTATGTTCTAGTTTCCTAACTATGGTGAATAGGATCTGGTCTAAGTTAACTGAACTTTGCTCCCATTGAAATCCATTGAAATCAGTGAGACAAGTAGTTAGTTATGATTTAACGTGGCCCCATTGAGATCAATTGCAATTTCTTTCCCAGACTGAAACCTCATTTGGGGGAGGGAGGAGCAGGACTCTGGTAAGCAGGATATACAAAAGGATCTGCTTTGTAAACACCAGGCAATTCACTGTTGGATTCAGATGTGGTTTGGAGGGCAAATCAGAGAAGCGGGGTAGAATACAAATACAGATTGGGTTACATCAATATACCTGAATTGTTCTCTTTGTACAATCCAATATTTATTGATGATGATGATTGATACTGGGTTGTACCCAATGTTAGAGAGTTAGTGTAGACCCACAATTATTAATTTGGGCCTATTAATTCTGAAAGGTCTACTCTGAGCAGAATTTAGTTAGATACATCTCATCTACTCCCCTAAAGAGCTCAAGG